AACGAGTGTTTCAAGGCAGTAGTTCAGCCACAGAGCGCTTGCCTCGAATGCATGACACCCTAGGTTCAGTTTCAGCACTTAGAAAAAAAATAAATAAGTAAAAAAAAATAAAAAGGAAGGGAAGGGAAGCTTTATACTTAAGGGATTAGGGCCAGAAGGAAAGACCTGTTACCGAAGCAGAAAAACTGGGCCAGAAACCTCTTGCACCATTGACCAAGAGCCTGGAGAGCCCTGCAGCTGCGCAGGCAGTTTGAGACCAGCGCACTGGAAATGTAAGAAGGAATGTTGTGCCTTGTGCCAGGGAGGAGGTGGCCATTTACTGCGCTTTTTCAAAGTTATAAAATACATCAGCTGTACAGGAAATGTCTGTGATCTCAGGAATTTCATTTCTGTATTGAAATATATGGAACCTCGAGGTTTGTACACTATTTGTTTGTTTATTTGTTTTTGCTTTGTTTTGTTTATATGGGAAGGGGGTGCTGCATGTGCCAGAGCACACGAGTGAGGGTCAGAGGGTAACTTGTGGGATTAGGTACTGTCCTTCTGCCACATGGGTTCTGAGGGAGCTCGGGCTGTTGGGCAGGGCAGCTGGCCCCTACTCCTCACTGGTCCAGAGTTTTCTTAGTCTGTTCTGGCATATCTTAAAGCCAACTGATCATCATCTCTTGGCCATTTTCAAATTAGAAAGGCCCTTCTGTTCCTGGGCACAGTGGTGCATGCTGGGATGCCAGCTGGTGGAAGCGGGAGGACCCAGAGCTGTCTAAGTTACGTCTGTGGTGATATTTTGTTTGTGATCTAACAAATTAAGCTTGCCTGAAGATCAGAGGGTGGTGCTAGCCATAAAGGCCAGGCAGTGGTGGCACACACCTTTGATTCCAGCACCTGGGATCACATGCCTTTGATCCCAGCCCTAGGGAGGTGGAGACAGGAATATGAGGCGTGTGGAGACAGGATTCAGTAGAGGTAAGAAATCTCCCTAGTGGTTGGCTCCTTTACTTCTCTGATCTTCCAGCATTTACCCCGATATTTGAGTCTGGGATTTTATTATTAAGACCAATTAGAATTGGGTGTCACATACTTCTGTTGCTGTAGGAAAATCCCCGAGGAGCAGCTGAAGAAATGACAGGTTTATTTTGGCTCATGGCTCACGGACGCAGTCCATCATGGTGGAGAAGTCATGGCAGCTGAAGCAGAGAGATGAATTCCAGTGCTCAGCTCACTTCCTTTTTAATTTCAGCTCAGGACCCAGTCCATATAATGGTCCCACCTATGTTTAAAGTGGGTCCTTCACCTCAGTGGACCTCGTCTGGACCTGGAGTTACAGGCAATCGTGAGTCATCTGATGTCTACTGTGGAATAGTCCTTCTGTACACTGTGAAGATGTGTTGATCTCGTTAATAAAAAGCTGATTGGCTGATAGCTAAGCAGGATTTTCAGGGCAGAGAGGATGCTAAGAGGAAGGACAGTGGAGTTGGAGGAGTTGAGAGCCAGATGCAGAAGAAGCAACATGGGAAATTCTTAGAGGAGGTAAACCAGCCTCGGGACAGCAGATGCATTAATAAAAATGGATTAATTTAAGTTCTAAGAGCTGGCGGGAGACAAGCCTAAGCTATTGGCCAAGCATTTATAATTAATAATAAGTCTCTGTGTAGTTATTTGGGAGCTGTCCAGTGGTCCCAACAAAAAACTCTGCCTACAGATGTGGGTGCTAGCAACAAAACCAGCGCCAGTCCAGCTCTAGCATCCCTCAGTTCTTACCTTCTAATCTCTCTCTTTCCTGGCCCCTTGGACCTGACACTCAGAGCTGCTTTCCTACATTTCAGCCTCTCCCTTGGAAAACCCTCTAGGAATCCTTCACCCACAGGGCTGACCCTGGTTTCTCCTACAAAGCAGACCAAGGCAGCAGATACGGGGTAATTTGCTTTTGGGAGCCAAGAGGGAGTTTTTCTTCTTTTTCTTCTTCTTCTTCTTCTTCTTCTTCTTCTTCTTCTTCTTCTTCTTCTTCTTCTTCTTCTTCTTCTTCTTCTTCTTCTTCTTCTTCGCTGATAAGGGATGTTGTCTATCTCAGGCTCCTCTTGCAAACATCTGTGAAAGCTGAACAGGGTTGTGGCTCACTCAATCACATGCTTCATCAGAGAACAGGACCTGCCATTGGAAGCCTCAGCTTGGGAGCCTCTATTGTCTTTGATACTTTCTGACAAGATTAATACTATAAAAAATGCAGAGAGGGCAGGATTCTAGGTGTTCACAGTCTAGAAACTTTTAAAGGACAGCATGCCATAATTATCCCAATAAGTCCCAGCTGGGATAACCTTAGGCCTCCAAAATTACCAGTGATGATTTGAGTCTGAAGTGTCCCCACAGGCTCATGTTCTGAACATGTCCCCCAGCTGGTGACAATCTTTTGGAAACATGTAGAACTTTTAGGAGGTGGAGTCTGTGGAGGAAGTAGTCTGCTACTCTACTGTGCTGTACTCAGGTCCTGGTTCCAGCTCTGCTCCATTTCCTGGTTGGTCCTCATGAGAAGGCATCTGTCACACACTCCAGTCACTGCAACCAAGCTCTTTCCCCACCACGGCCAACTGAAACCCTCTGAAACTGTAAGCCAAAATAAATCTTTTTCTCCTTAAGTTGACCACAGCATGCAAAAGTAATTAACAGAGTTTTTTAGTACATGAGCCTCTTAGGCCAGGGTAGTCAGTTTGGGCCTCGGTATGATGTACCCAGCATCCAGGTACACAGCTCCCTCCCAAATACTGGCCCAGTTATACCTCAGGTTTCCCCAAGATTTAATCATGCCCTTGCAGGTGGTTCCGTGAGTAAGAATACTTGCTGGTCAAGCAAGAGGACCTGAGTTTAAACCTCCAAAACCCCAGAAAAACCAGTGTGGCCTTGTATACCTGAACCCCTAGGAAGTAGAGACAGGAAGCTGGCTAGTGCTTGTTGACCAGTAAGCTAGCTACAGACTCAGTGACAGACACCACCTCAAAAAAAAACAAAAAAACAAAAAAAAAAAAAAAACAGCACCAAGCCAGTGGAGAGCGACAGAGTAGATCCGACATCCTCTACTGGCCTTCATACATGTACATACATGTGTATGTGCATGCACACACCACATATAGACACAGGCTTGAAGAAAAATTAAAAAGAGGAAGTTTCAAAGCACCTTTCAGTTATATCCCTGAAGGAAATCACTGAGGAGCTGGGAATAGGCTGGAGAGATGGCTCAGCGGTTGAAAGCTGACTGCTCTTCCAGAGGACCTGGGTTCAGTTTCCCAGGGCCCACAACTGGCAGTTCACAACTGTCTATAACTTCAGTTCTAGGAAATCCAGCATTCTCACAGACATGCATGAAGGCAAAACACCAATGCACATAAAATGAAAATAAAATTAAAGAAAAAAAAGTCCTGGGATTATAGCTCAGTGATAGAGAGCTTGCTTAGGGTGTATGAGGGAGACTGTAGGTTCAATGACCAGCAGGCCAACAAAACAAACAGCGCTAGAAACTCACCTCTAGGCTTTCTGTCTACAGCATCCCATCGGCATCCAAACCACATTGCTTGCTGTGACTCAAACCCAGGGGAGGGTTTGAAAACAAGGAGAGCCCTAACCACCACCATGCCTCTTATTTTGATAAAGATGAAACAGACACAGAAGACCAAGACCTGGGCCGAAGACTGGGATGCTCAGCAAAGCCAGGTTAGCTTTTCTGGAGATGCAAGTAGGGTCCTTCAGGAGTCCTGAACACCTGGGGGGCATATTCACTATTACTGGAAAGCTACTACCAGGATGTAATGTTCTGAATTTCCACCCCTCTATTATAAATTGATTTTTCTGTCCTTGCCAAGTCCTTTCCATCCACTTCCTTTGTAGATGGTAACCTTGATGGCCCGATACTGCCTCCGGCTGCACACTCAGGGCTGCCTGCCTCTTAGACTCCTTTGTAAGGTTTAATGAACATTGAGGAAGGATGGGAAGAGAAGGTCAGAGCCAGTGACAAGACCTTGAATGGGAAAGTTACCCAGAGAGCCCCACAGAGGAGAGACTCAAGCCTTGCTCAGCAGAGCCGCTGACTCGGCCCTTCAGAGACTAAGCGCTGCCTTGCTTCCACCAATTAAAACCCCCTTGCCTTTTCCACGCTTGCACACTGGCTGAGACAGATGGCCCAATTTGCCAGCAACCAAGACCCAGCCCACCGGCTGAGCCGCCTCATTCACAACAGTGATGCCTCCCGGAGAAGATTCCCCTTCCCTTTGGATGCTGGAGCGATTGTTTGCAGCTGGCAGCTGTAATTACTTTTTACTGTAGGTGGGTAGCTGGTCCAAAAGCTAAACTCACAGGGCCGCTGATTTCTAAAGGGCTTTGAAACAAGTAATTTTCAGGCAGCCGGCACAGCATGTTTAATAAACTTTCCACGCAGGTCAATTGCTTTCTCTGTGGTGAAGAGCCACAGGCTAAGTGTGGATTCCTGGATGGGGATACTTTGGACCTGTAAGGTTGTTTTTCTCCAGCGTTCCTTTGTTTGCGAACAGGACCCGAGAAAATCATGTTTGCAGGTATTCATGGGCTTGTACGTAATTTGTTCTGGCTTGAATAAGGAGTATCCTCCATGGTTCCTTGTTGTGTGTTTGGTCCCCAGATGGCAATGTTATTTTGGGAGGTTCTGGAAACTTTAGCTTGAGGAAGTAGGTCACCAGGAGTATGTCCTTGGGGCGGTATGTTATCCCAGACCCCCTTTCTCCTGATCACCATGGAAAGTCTATACATCCCTGCTGTCATCATATTCTGCCCCCACCCCCACTCCCCCAGCCCTAAATCAACAGCTCAGGGACCGGAAGCCCTGAGATAATGATCCAAGACAAATGGTTTCTCCTTTAAGTTATTTTTATCAAATATTTGATCATAGCAACAATACATCTAACCCTGCATTGGCAATCTTTCTAGCTACCACCAAAAGGCAACTACAAGAAGGAAGGGTTTATTTGGGCTTGCAGTTTGAGGATACAGTACACCATGATGGGACAGTCTGGCAGCCAGGGTGGCCCTAGCTCTGACACCAGGAGCTCCATGCAGCTGGTCGCATTGCATATGTGGTCAAACAGCCGGCATGAACCCTGGCGCTCCAGGAGCACAATGCGGCTGGTTACATTGCATATGTAGTCAAACAGCCGCATGAACCCTGGTGCTCCCTTCTCTACCTCTTTTCTCTTTTACTTTAGCTTGGGATCCCTGCTGTGGGATAAATCACTCTTATGCAGGGTTGTTCTTCCATCCTCGGTGAAAGTTCTCTGGAAATGCTGTGTCGGGCATAGCAGGAGGTGTGTCTCCTAGGTGATTCCAAATCCGGGCAAATTGACGATGAAGAATCACCATTCCTGCAGAGAAGTTAAGGAAAGATTTCAATCCCGTAGATCTTTCAGTCTGAGTTTCTAACCAGGTTACTACTATTATAGTAAAATAATAATAATAATAATCTACTGTAGATTATTTTGCAACGAGTTCTCCAGGTGGGACTTCCAGAGTACAGGAAGAAACTACAAGAGTTGACGAATGGAGTCACATGGAACTAGAAGGCTCCTGTACAGTAAAGGGAACAAGTATAACGAAGGGACAACCTACAGAATGGAAGAAAATATTTACCAACCATAAACCTGGTAGGGAAATAATATCTAAAGTCTATAAAGAAGTCCAAAAATTAAACACCAAATCCAAATCGCCCACTCGATAAATGTGCTAATGAATTAGAGAGTTCTCAAAAGAAGAAATACAAATGAACAATACATATTTTTTAAAAATGTCCAATGAACTTAGCCATCAGAGAAATGCAAATGAAAACTTCATTAAGAGTCCATCCTACTCCAGTAAGAATGGTTATCATCAAGAAAGCAAATGACAACCCTGGAGAGCTGGCTCCGTGGGTGGTTAAGAACACTTGCTGCTCTCACTGAGGACCCAGGTTCAATTCCCTGCGCCCACATCGTGGCCCATCAAAGTCTGTAACTCCAGTGTCAGGGGACCTGACATGCTTTTCTGGCCTCCACAGCCACCAAGCCTGCGTGTAGTGTATAAACACACAGGCAGGCACAACACTAATACACATCGAACAAAATAAATAAGTATATCTAAAAAAAAATCATTAGAGAAAAATGCTGGTGAGGATGTGGGGGGAAAGGAATCCTTTCACTGTTGGAGGGTGTATAACCTGGTGCAGTCAGTATGGTGGAAATTAATATGAGTGCTTATTAAAATGCTGAAAATGGGGCCTGGAGAGGCAGCTCAGTTGGTGAAGTGCTCTCTGTACAAACGTGAGGACCAGAGTTCAAGTCCCAGTCCCCACATACAGACAAAGACAAACAAAAATGACAACAAACCCAGGCACTGTGGCAGGCACTTACAATCCCAGCAGGGATCAGAACTGAATTCATGGTCCTAGAGCCTTCATGTGGTAGAGAGAAAGCAAACTAAACTTTCAAATGAAATAGATGATCTTGCAATCAAATAAACAGCTACAGATTTATATTCCGACAAGGAAATCGCATGATTGCAGCCCTTCCCAAAGATCAGCTTCGGCTAACTCAAACTCTGCCCTTCTTTGAGCAGCTTGAACCTCACAGAACTCGTTTGGGAAGTATCTTTCCTACAGCAACTTCCTTTTGGGAACAGTTCCATTCCCATATCTTGGCACGGCAGAGTAGAAGACAGGGGCTAGAGAGATGGCTCAGCAGTTAAGAACACTGACCACTCTGGCTGCTTTTCCAAAGGACCTGGGTTCAATTCCTGGCACCACATGGCAGTTCACAGCTGTCTGTAACTCCAGTTTCAGGGGATGTGGCATCCTCACACAGACATACATGCAGGCAAAACCCCAATATACATTTTAAAAATCAATCAATTAATTAATTAAAAAAGAGTAGAAGGCATTTTGGGTATTAACATTTAATCAGCTAATGACAGAAAGACATTTGAAGAAGTCAGGATCTACTAGTCTATGGATTATTAAACACAGTCACAGAATAAAGGAGAAAAAAAAAGAACAAGACCAAATGTACATGACTCAGCAATTTTGAAACATGATCTAAGCAACTGGAAATAAACTCCAAAAACTTCTCAAATATGTGCTAAGTAAACTAGCAGAACCGGCACACAAAAGAATGTTTTTTTTTTTTTTTATGTATTCAACATTCTGCCTCCATGTATGCCCACACGCCAGAGGAGGGCGCCAGATCTCATTACAGATGGTTGTGAGCCACCATGTGGTTGCTGGGAATTGAACTCAGGAGCTCTGGAAGAGCAGCCAGTGTTCTTAACCACTGAGCCATCTCTCCAGGCCCAAAAGAATACTTTTAATTTTGACTAGGAGTTTAAAATATTGAAAATATTCATAAAAATTTTAAATACGTAACCGAAATAAATGGGACACTCTGGAGGTCATTGTCTTCTGCTGGGTGAAACGCTAAGACTTCACACAGCTTCCTGAAAGTAAATGACGTGGCTGGATCAGCCCTGGAGGAGAGGGCGGTCTAGAGGGCACGAATCTGCTTGTTAAGCCAGGAGATGATAAGGAAAAGGACAAGCCTCCCAGGAGCGAACAGGAGTGAAGTTAGCTCAGCCAGGATCTGCAGGTAGCAAATAGATTAGTTAATTAATTAAAAAGGGAGATATGGGTGAGTGGAGGCCGAGAGCTCCTATCGTTCAGTTCTCTTTGACTGGCATCCCCTGCTGAGGTCAGACGTAGACATAAGGATCCACAGCCCGTATTCGCATTACCAGTCCAAATATTACCTTCCACTGTGCTGTAATTCCATTCCAGCTCACAAGGGATCCAAACCTCCATGAATAATGAACGGGACTGAAAGCAATTCGCAAACCAGCGGCAACTGAATGTGGTCTAGTAAACATGACAGAACCAGCAGCTTTCGAGGGAACTCCCCTATTGGTCCCGGGAGGAGACGCCAGGGTCCATCAGCATCAATCCTTCGCAAGGGGGAGTGGAGGACTGGACTTGGAGCTCTGTGGTAGAGCACTTGCCTAGCGTGTCTAAGGCCCTGGGTATGATCCTGGGCACTGGGAAGAGGGACATTAAAAACAATCTCGCATACTCTAGTGTCTCAGATCATCTGAGCAAGAAAGAGACAAAATAATTGTACTTAAGTCTGGTTTGGTACCAAAGTATAATTGAGACAAATTCCAAAATTCACGTGGGAAATCACAATGGTTTATCCTTGACTCTTTTTTATTACAGTTTTTAAAATCACGTTTGTTTATTTATTTAATGCATGGGGATGGAGTTGGGTGAATGTGTATGTACCCAATGACAAGCCTGTTGTCAGAGAACAACTTGTGAGAGTCAGTTCTCTCTATGAGTCTCACGGATTAAACTCAGGGTGTTGGGCTTGGTGGCAAAACCCTCTCCTGGCTGTGCCATCTTGCCAGCTCTTAAGTTTTGAAAGAGCTGAAAAAAAAAAAAAAACCCAAATCTTTTCTCTGTCCCAATTCCAGCCCTGTTCCTGACGAACAGAAGTCCTGTGCTTTGCGTCATCCGGGGGGTAAAAGAGGAACATTCAGGTGTATCAGTAGGGGCTGAGAGAAGATTCCAGGGTAGAGCTGCAGGCTGCCTGTGTTCCATCATTTTCCAACTATATAAAAAGAACAAAGCAGACTGTTAGAACCCACAGCCGTGGCCGAGTGGCTGACAACAGCTTTGACGAACTGTATGAGCCAGCACACAATCACTTCAAAGCGCTTTCTGGTGGTGTTTGAAGCTTTTCAGAAGCCAAGGGAGCTACCTACCTATAGCCACTTAGAAGATGAAATGTCTATACTTATAAACATTTCAGTAAATAGATAATCATTAGGATCCATGAACAAAGTTGAGGGTACGTGTCTGTTGGGAGAAGGGGTTCCTTTACTTCTTTTCCAGAAAGTTCTAAATGAAGAATCATAAGGACTTAGGGCTAGAGAGATGGTTTAGTTGGTAAGAACACTTACTGCGTGTACCTGAAACCCGGGGTTCATCTCAGCATATCCCCACAGAAAGAGTTACTGAAGAGAACAAAATTCAAAATGCTGTATAAACTTCTTTGGAAAGACGTGTCCGCTCGGTGAGCAGGTGTCCTCCTGATTTGTGTAAGAATCACCTCCTGCCACTGGCAGATACTCTAGCCTGGGTTTCAGTCCCACCATTCGGGATGCATAGATGGCATTCCTCAACTTCACAGTGATAGTTGAAAGTGTAAATATACTGGCTGTGTTAGCATAGATACTGGGGAGTCTCCGACGTCTGCGGATAGGAGTAATTTCTGGAGGCATCTGTCAAGCTGTATTTGTAAATCATGAAACATACCACCTGTAACTTAGCCAATGCAACCTATTCATAATGAGCGACACACACAAAACAAAGACAGGCACAGCCAGAGAAACTTGTGATGACCTATTTGGTTCTGCTTTGGGGGCAAGGAAGCCAGGGCCCAAATTTCAGTACCTTGCCCAAAGCCACAGGCAAAAAGAATAGCAAAGGGCTTGAATCTTGACCCCCTCTTCCCACTCGGTGTTGGTCCCCACATCCACAGCATGTATCCACATCGCCATGGTGGCCTCACAGCCCAGCTACTGCGCTGTGCTAGCTCACTGTTCAGGAGTTCCTATCACCTTTGGGTTCCCATCACCACCTTTTAATTCCCAGAGAGCCACACGTGAGTCACTTCAGCCCCTCTGTCTGGGCTTCAGGTGAGGAATCCCATAACTCTCGAGATAAATTAGCTCATGTACTTCTCAGACCCGGCGGTAGCATTCATTATAAAGCAGGCACTAGAAACCATAGGAAGAATAAATACTTTATTTGGGGATGGAGGAGCTCTTTCTAACTAGAAGAAAGATAAATGTGTATGAATTTTAAACATGAAATACACGAGAGTCAAAGAACTGTATAATTTATAAGGACTGGATCAAGCACTCCCACAAACCTGCAGTAGGAAGCCGGTGCAGTGCCTTGGTACAAGCTCAGAGGGGACCTGGTTAAAAGGCTCCCACTGTCTTCCATGACCTACACACCAAGGTCACGTTACAACTGTATCCTGGGGGGGGCGGGGCGGGGAACCCATGCTGCTATCAAAACACTATGCAGATGGTCCCGAGATACATTTAGCTTCCGCATATGACACCCGGAACATTATGAAGAAGATAATGTGAATCAAGTAGCAACTATTACAGCCGATGAATATGGAACAGAAACACTGCCAGCCAGAATTGTGAGAAAAATCAAGCACAGTGGACAGAATTAGTAAAATAAATCCAAGGTGCTAGTTTTAGAAGCCCATGAACTGTTTCTGTAGTAAGGATTATGCACTGGGGAACAGTATAGAGGTCTTGGAGGCTGAAGAGCTGCAGGACTTTTTACCAAGAAGAGACTGAGTTAATGTGTGGTGGAGACAGGGAGGATAAATCTAGAATTCTCCATTTTCACCCCCTTGTTCTGCCATTCTGTTGGACTTTTTTTTTTTTTTTTTTTTTTTTTTTTTTTTTTTTTGGATTAGACAGGGCCTCTCCACATAGCCCTGGCTGTCCTGGATCTCACTCTGTGGACCAAGTCGACCTCAAACTCACAGAGCTCTGCCTGCCTCTGCCTCCAGAGTGCTGGGATTAAAGGTGTGTGTACCACCACTCTCCCTGACCTTTTTAGTGAATACAGCATCTGACAGGAGGGCCTAGGCATTTCCCTGTGTGTCTTGACAGTGATTAATTCACTTACTGCAAATATACTCAGTTCCTTAAGAATCCTCAGCATGGATTGGGCAGAGATCATGAAATTAGTCCTGAGAAAGAGACTGAAGGATGAATCTGGATGAAATGACACTGAAGACTCTGAATAAGCTGGGACTGTTTTGCTTCTCTGTTGAGAACATTAATATAACGATTATACAGATTTTTAAATAATTACACTTAAGTGAATGGGTGTTTTGTGTATATGTCGGTGCACCATGTATGTACCTGGCACCCGAAAAGGCCAGAGGAGGGTGTCTGTTGGAACCCCTAGAACTGGAGCTGCAGATAGTTGTGAGCTGTCATGTGGGTGCTGGGAACTGAACCCCAGTCCCCTGGAAGAGCAACCAGTGGTCTTATTCACTGAGCCATTTCTTCAGTCCCAGCAATTATAGACTTGACAATATCAGATGGTGGTGGCTCACCCTCGACCTGATTCTAATAACTGTCCTAGCATTAAGGTATCACACATGGAACTGTTGAGGGAGAGAGGAGAGAGGGAAAGCAAGATCACACACGTGCACAAGTTCTAATAAAATAAATCCACGCGGGAAATACAGATAAAAAGTACATGAGAATTCTTTGTATATTCTTTAACTTCTGAAAACCTAAAATCGTCTGACATCTAAAAAGGATCTCGGTTCCATTTTCAGCACATCAGTGGAGAGAAGGTAGTTAAAACCTTATGTAATGTATCTTCTCTAAATGTCAGTTGTTTGCCATTGTATACGTGTCTGTGTTAGTGGACATGCGTGGGTGGTGTGCAGGCTGTGCACAGTGGCGCCCAGACAGAGGGTCAGAGCTGGAATTACCCAGGTTTGCTTCTTTCTTTTTGTTGTTGTTGCTGCTGGGTTTTTTTTTTTTTTTATGTTTTCTTTAGTTTTGTTTTTTGAGACAGGGTTTCTCTGTATAACCCTGGCTGTCCTGGAACTCACTCTGTAGACCAGGCTGGCCTTGAACTCACAGAGATTCACCTGCCTCTGCCTCCCCAGTGCAAGCTGGAGTTACGGGACAGCCAGGGCTATGTAGAGAAACCTTGTCTTAAAAAAAAAAAAAAAAAAAAAAAAGGAAGAAGGAAATTGCAGCAGCCCAGGGGACACACTCCACCGCATCTGCTGGTTTCCCTAGCTCTACTATTCCATTCGTCGCTTTATCTGGAATACCTCTGGTTTTGTCTATCGCTTCTCAAACTTTTCAGCGGACTTCCGGCACGCAGGGCTGTCTCCTCACACTGGAGGGCACTTTCTACCCTAACAGATCCTGCAGCACCTCGCCTTTCCTGATGGGCCTTTGTTACAAACTAAACTCTTTCCCCTCCCTGATGCTCTGTTCTCTTCACCTCTTCACCTCCCAGGGTTCCCTCCTGGTAGACTGCCTTCCCTGGGGACATCCATATAGGGTACTGATCCCCCAAGCCAGCCCAGGGGCCCCAAGACCGTGATCCTTCCAGCAGAGTGGATTCTCCTTCTAGACACCTGAAGTAGTTAGTGGCTACTGTCTCCCTGCTTACGTTTGCTTTTCTTGCAGCTGAGAAGAGGCCCTTAAAAAGCAAGGTGCAGGGTTGTCATGCTTTTCGTCACCTTGGTCTCCGGTCCAGAGCTGCATTCACTATAGTATATCACAAATGCTTACCGAATGAGTAATCGGAGACCCACAATAGAAGTAGAATGTTGGAACAGGAAGGAGTGATCTAAGGGCTGAGGGAGCCCGAGGAGAAGTATTTATGTGAGCTGACCTCACATCTGAATTTAAGGACTTTAGGACTTTGAGCAAAAGATGACAGAAATGAGGGGGCAGCAGGAATAAAGGACTGAAGAGGAGAAGCATAAGGATGTTTGTTTGTTTTTTGAGAC